TCGGAGTCCATATAATCCATCAGGAAGAATGTGATGTCTAGATGTTATAAATATATTTATATGTTTATTATGCACTAAAATGAATCTCAAATGCACTTTATAGAGCTAAATTAAGTACGTTTTCATGTTCTCATTAGATCAAATCCCCTTTTCGAATTCAACACTTTTTTTTGTTAAAATGCACACTTCGAATATTGAAATTGCACATTTGATCTATTTGAAAATCATGATCTATAGTAAATAAAGATTTAAAACGAATTATATTAGTTTTCGCTTACTATATAAATTACTTCACTTTATGCCTTTCAATATGCACTTCCATACATTTTAAAAACAAAATAATTTAAAAAATGAAAATAAATAAAGTAAAAAAGTACACGAGTGTACTATCATATGCATTTTAAGTATATACAAAAGTGCACTAGTGTATCACACCTTTTCAAAATAAAATGCACTTTTAACATGTGCATTTAAAATAAATAAAAGTGCACTACCATACAACTATACTACTAAAGAGGTGCTACATATATAATCGAATTGTGTTAGTGCTATTTTTTTAATAAAATATGGAGCATAGTAATTATTATAAAATGAAAATGGATTAGATAATCCTTGATAGTGACTTGTGGATGATGACTATGTTCTTCCCTGCAACACGTGGGTAGTGTAGCTTTCTTCTTTGCAATTTAGACAAAAAAGCTCTCTTCTCCAAGTCTGACAAATCAATTTCTTTGAATAGAAGAAACTATTTTTTCTCCTAAAATATGATATTTGTGGTTCTATTAATTACAACAAGAAAGAACTTAACATCGTTCAATTTCCCAGACCGGATCAAGAGCTACGTTCGCACAAGGAGATACGTTCGCACAAGGAGAGACGAACGAATATGGAGAAAAAATATCTTTGGAAAGAAACGGTTGTATAAGGAATCATGTAGCGTAGCTTTAGGGATTGTACAAACGGTCAATTGAAATTGACTTCCTTACCCTTATAGAAGGTTTAGTCGCACAGATTATAATAATCTAATCCAATGGTTAAGATGTATTCTTTTTTACTCTCCTAAGATTAAGTTCTCACGTGAACCTAAATCTATATATATATATATATATATATATATATATATATATATATATATATATATATATATATATATATATATATATATATATATATATATATATATATAATACAAATAAATTACGTTGTATAATATATCCATTTTATTTGAAATACTTAATCTAATTGGGAGCGATATGACAAGTTCTTGCTAGAATAACTTGACCATCATTACTTCCATGCTATTGAGTTCTTTACATGTTGGTCTAGAATTTTTATTGGTTGTATGGTATAACTAAGTTCTTACTAATAATCTCCAGCAATGGTGCTTCTAGGATGTGTCGTCAAAGATCAGGAGCATTCTTCTTAAGCATCGACATGTGGAACATGTCGTGAATTTTAGCCAACTATGGGTTAAGTTAAATTTCTATCATATGAAATGACTTAGGCTCTGTTTGGAAAATGGCTGATCAGCCAATTTTCAGCTACTTGACCTGAAATAGATTATTTGACTATCCAAACCGCTGTGTTTCTCGTTTGGCAAACGGATGGTTCCTTTGGCTGGTGAGACTCAAAAAGCCGAAATTAGAAACGCTGGAGGTGGCAGCGTTTCGTATCGGCTGATCCGATCCATTAAATTCTTTTTATACCCTTATTAAACAAATCCACTATTTTATATATCCAGCTCTTCACTTATTTCTTGGGGCATGCAATTCGGGAAGGCAAAAAAGGAAGTGCAAAATCATATCAATAAACTACAAATCGATGTTCTTCACTTTCAGATGAACTGCGAATGAGGATAGAAAAGAAAAACAGACCAAAAAAATAATAAACAAACGAAAGAGGAAAACGAAGATGTTTCAAATTGAAATCAGATTCAGCTCCAGATCCATACCTTCGAATTAGAAGCTTAGAACGAAGATGTTTCAAATTTATTTGTCATAATAAATTTTGTTATAAATTTATTTGTCATAATAAATTATGTAATATATTTTGTTGAGATTATCTATGCCAATATATCAATTTTTAATATGGTATGCCAATATAGTCGTGTCCTTATGCGTCTTTTTGCACTCAAATAGCTATTTACAACAGCTAATTTTACCAAACATTTATTAGCAAGAATCTAACATAATCAGCCAATCAAAACAGCTAACACAACCAGCTGTGATCAAACAGTTGACACAACCAGTTAACAGCTAACAACTAACAGTCGATTGTCAAACAAGGCCGTAATGTACTTTGGGTTTAGCTTTCAGTAACCTCGACCCCGGTCATCTACTTTTAACTTGAGCATCTTCCATGTTTACCTGCATAGCTTTTTAGTCAGTCTTTTGCAGCCTTTAATTTATCTTGCCAAAATATTTTGTATCTTCTCTTTAGTAATCTATACCAACTCAATGCATTCGAGTTTTCCTGTTTCAGCCTCGCCCCACCTCGCCCCAACACAATGGTGTCCTACATTCTATTTTCATATAATTCCCCATATGGGGCCACACTTGTACTTGTATGATAGTTATTTTTATAAGCAAACTCTACTAATGCTAGGTGCCAATTCCAACAACCCAAGAGTTCTAACGCTCAAGAATGAAACATATCTTCGCGTATTAGGATACCATTTCAGGAATCCCCTCAGTCTAATAAGGATGCACTATCGTGCTAAACTTCAACTTGGTTCCCATCGCAACCATGATGTAATCCTTGGATCCCGGTGAGACATAAGGGTCGTGTGTGCCATGTGATTGTATGATCTCCCTTACGTATAAGGTTGTTAATCTTTCGAGAAAATAAGTATTGTTTCCATATAATATCATTGTTCTTTACCTTTCGTGGCCGCAGGGGCGTAGCTACGGGTTGGCCAAGCTTGACCCCGGCCCAGCTTGATCCCGACCCAACCCAAATTTAAAAATTGTCTGTATTTTTAATGTAATATTTTTTCAAAAATATTCTTTGTCCAGACGAGTCTTGATCCGCCCCTGCGTGGCAGGTAACCTGCCATGGGAATATATAAGAATTTGAAATTCAATAAATTTGTCTCCTTGTTTCTTGAGTACAGGAGTATACTCAAAGCCTTCTATGTTAATGAATGCCTGCCACGTGACAAGTTTCCAATCAACGCTTTTGGTTTATGGGACTATCGAACAACATGCAAATCCAAGTGTATGTACCTTCTCAACCAAAAATAAGTTGATCCGGAAGCTGCGAGACTTCCCTAGAAAGCGCGTGTAAACTGATCACCGATGCAAATTGGTCACTCATTTACAAGGTACATGTATACAACATTCAGCTATAAACCATAAACAGCGCTGCTAACAAAATAACACATACATTTTGATTTGCTTATGTATGTTAAACATAAAAACCTAGGTTTTGCAAGTTGATATTGTATAAGTATGTTGCGGAGAAAGCCCTAAAGAGGCCTTTAACTTATTTAGGACGGTATGTCTATCTGGCTCAAACCTAGAGTTCCACGTACTCTTACATGGTATTTGGTGGCAAAACGTATTTTTGTGAGGTTGCAAGAAGCCAGAAAATCGCATAAGAGCTAGTGGAATCCTGTAATGGAGTGGTGTAGATTTGTACCTTATTTGGAGCACCGACTCTTACCATGTGATATATTGGTTCTGCTATACTAGCATTCTGTTAGAGTCACACCAGAATATGAATAGTAATTCTAACAAAGATCAAACTCAATCAAGATAAAAGGAATTCAGGAACACAATTCACAGTAGATTCCAACGTAACAGAAATGTACAGTCCCAAAAGTAGAGATAGTACTCTAACTTCCCAGTCCAAGACTTAACAGTCAAACAGCCTGCCTCCCGTCTCCCCAGCTTATTCTATTTATAGACATAATATCTAACTGAAAGTAGTTACAAGGTGGTTTAACGAAATAACAGCTAGACTCTTTCCCCCTTCTAGAATAAACTTGACCAAAGTGTCTGTCCTCCTTATTAGACTGGCCCGGATCTCTATCAATACTCCCCTCCTGAGCAAACAGCTTGTCCTCAAGCTGGAAGCCTGGAAATTGTTGTTTTATCACTTGTGCATCCTCCCAAGACCTTTCAAACTCCGGTAGGTTCTTCCAATGTATCAAGACTTTAGTGTTTCCATCTTGGTCTAGCTAGAGGCTTTAGTACGGGCTGATGCAAGAGAAAGGAATGGAATCTTGAAAGTCTTGTTCTGCTAATCGCCTTTGTTGCCCCTCGGTAGGGTGAGTTTACTTAGCGAACTGAGTACAGTACTAAAGGTCCTCGGACTTCCAGGCCGGAAATACATCAATAAGAATGAGGCATGAATTTCCAGTAGCTATGCCTGACGTACAAGACTTTCTGTCCGGCCTTACGCCGGGCATCCTCGGAAAAAAGGTTATTCTGCTAGATCAATCGGTTTCGGGTCAAATAGGAATTGAAGAACTAGAAGATTCCACCTCTGGAAAGCGCCTACACCTAATGACTTTAAGCCGCTGTTCCCATTTCCTCGCTGCCCATCATGCAAAAGGTACGCCGTTTAGAGTAAGTGCGCTTTACTAATATCAAGTAAAGGCTATAAGCTCCACTCCTTCGACAGATTGTTCGCGTTATATTTGTCTTGAATAAATATTATAGTGCATCAGTTATTGAAAAGTGTTAAAGATATTAACAAAGTTTTTAATGTAACCACTACACTTAAGACATCAGGTTTTGTAAATAACTTTTATTTTAGTTATAAATATGTAATTATTTCGTATATATTTATATTTTGATCCTCGTTTCATTAATATAGGTGGTGTCAAATTGATTCTTAGAAAATATATCATTATACTTCCCACGTTCTTTAATTCTTTTAGCATTGTGATTTTTGCATTATTCACACACCATACTTTGACCATGATTTTCTACTAATATACACAATCAAATCATTACATATAAAATGTTATTGAATTCCTATCAATGTGAATTTCCAAATATCAACTTTTTATAATGTTTATTAATACATAATTAAATATAATTACAATCGAAGTTGTGTGCTAGCAAACATGAAAATCAAACTGCTGCAAAAATTAAAAAACAAAGAATAATATATAACTACAAAAGATATTTGAGTGGTGTCAACTGATAATCATTCCATTTATATACGTGGTGTCAAATTAATTTTTTAAAGAATATACCTCTATATATAATTACAAAAAAAATTGAGTTGTGTCAATTAACACCACACTCCCTCCATCACTGCACGTCATCATTCTGGTTCATACACTTCATAGTTCATACAATGATAAAAATACAAGTCAGCCCCAAGCATCAGTTTGATTACAACATGTTCAATTTAGAGAATATATTACAACACCAAGTTTATTTACCAGCTAATTAGACACACTCGGCGACACATGTACGAAAATGTTACAACAAGTTTATTTACCAGCCAATTGAACACTCGGCAGCATACGTACTACTATTACTCGAGTAAAGTAAAAGTAGTGAGATCAGATCCCCCTCCACTGTGGAGGTGGCCGTGGTGATGGTGGTGATTGGGGGGGTCAAAGCGCAAAGCTAGGATGCGGGGCCCTCCATTTGGAAATCCAAGAACAGAATTGTAATCGCCCCTTTCATGGTCAACCAGCCCGTATGGTTCTTCCTGTCTTGCCTCCTGCCCATTCCCAAACTATTACTACTACATTTCCATTAATTGTTTTAAGAAAATGATACTAAATGCTCGATATATACCAAGGAAATATATTTGTTGCGGCCAAAAGAAAAAATTAAACTGCTCTCCTAATGCTCGAGCAGAAAAACAAATCATTGTGGCTAGACAACAGATATTTAGAGCCCATTTGGTAGCACGAAAATTGGCTGATTTGGCTGATTCTGTTGAAATTTATGATGTTCTGACTGGAGTGGCTGGATTCTGCTGATTTAAGAAAAAATTATTTTTGAAATATATTTTATTAATAAAATAAAGACAAATTATATGTAAAAATAGTTAAAATGGTCATCTACAGTAACTTCAGCCAATACAGCCAGAAAATTAACTCCAACCTTACTTTTTTTGCTTATTACGCAATTCAGCGCACGAAAGCAAAATTTACGTGTTTGGTAAAAAAACTGGCTGATAAGCCTGATAAGCCAAAAAAGAGTGTTGTCAAACAGCCTCTTAAAAGGTAGAAACAACAGAAAATAAAGATGTATATATTATAATTAGAATTTAGAAGATTCAAACTAGAATCCAAAAGAAATTGTGTCAAAAGTTGAGTTTGTAATTTGTGCTTTTTTTCGAAATATTTGACTCAAGTGAGTTCCCTTAGGTAGTATTAGGGTTAAATGAAATGTTTAAATACTTACAAATTTGGTTACAAATTTAGGGTCAGTTTTTTTTAGTGTCTCAAATATTATAATGCATGCTGTGTTATTTTAAGTATAGAGCCAGATGAAGATGTAACTTACACATTCCAGTATCAGGTTTCTATGGATTTCTTCCACATTCCTCACCTATAATGATATATGCAATAATGCAAACAGACATCAATCAGAACGATCAACACATATGCTTCAATTTTGAAACATCAAATGACGCACATTTACACACACAAGTTTCAATTTGTAAGAGATCTTTATAATTACAAACAGTTTGTTGTAAAGTTATGTATGAACATAACTTTGGCACGCAATAACAAATTAATTTGAAAGAATCTGATGCAAATTAAGTCAGCACAATGTTGATAACAAATTAATAGTTTATGTAGTCAGTATGAAGAGACATCATACCTTCTTCTTGTGAGTCTCAATCTGGTTGGAAATCACCTTATACTGTTTCATTTAATACAACATTAATAAAAGATTCAGAAAATAGGTCAGATTATTATTTGCAATTCTTACGGAATCTTAGATAATAAAAGTAAACCAATTTCCTTAAATTTGGACTCGGTCATGCAGCCTAGGCTACAATGTTTGATTAATTAAGACGCTTAAACAAAGTCCATCAACTACCCAGTTTTAAATGACGTTGTGTAGGCTGGTAGGCTAGCCAACACAAAGCTGTACAGACTCCTTATTTGATTGTTTAGTACTGCGTAATTAATCAGTACTGCATGTACAGGGTAAGATGTATCTATGTTACCTTACAAAGTGGCTAACTGCAGTTTAATTACTTAATTACATAATATGTGTAATATTGAACACTGAACTTTGTGTTTTTTCTAAAATGTGTAAGATTTTTTAGTGATTGATAGAACTATAGAAGTGAAGCACACATTAGATGATACTACCTTCGTCCCTTAAAACTTTGACAAAGTTGACCGGCACGGAGAATAATAAAGTAAAAATTGTGAGGTTGAGGTTTGTGCAGAGGAGAGAGAAATAACAGAAAAAATAATTGATTAAAAGGGAAAGTGACAAAGTTTTTTGGGAAAGATGGCAAAGTTTTAAGGGATGGAGTGAGTAACATTCTACACATTGTATGAACAATATACAAAAACCCGCTATTTCAAACAAAATCAGAACTAGTGTTTACTTAGGGAGTGTTTGCGATTGCTTCAACTTCAAAAAAGTGATTTTTTAAAGTGATTTTGGGAAAAGTGATTAATAGTAAAACTTGGTAGTGTTTGAGAAAAAAGTGATTCTGAAAAAGTAAAAGTTGATAGTGTTTGGTAAAATAAGTACTTTTTGTGTAATAGAAAAAGTGAGAAGCAGTTTAAAGCACCCTTCTACCTGCTTCCAGCTTTTAACTTTTAAGTGATTAATTTAAGCAGAAGCTATCATTTGAAAACACTCTTTTCAACTTTTTTTAAGCCAAAAGCTGAAAAGCGCTTTTTTTAATCAATCCCAAACACTCCTTTAAACAGCTCAAGTTCAAGAAATAATGTGAAATATGTGTACATAGCAGAAGCTAGGGCCAGCTTAAAACCCTACAATATACACGATTAATTGCTTAATTAATAAACCTTTCTGTCACGAATGAGCTTGAGAGAACCATCCACATCTTCTATCAGCTCTGTCAATTGTTCAAGGCTCAGGTCGTTCAGATTCTCACCCATCCTCTGCCTATTTATGCATATATAGCCAAGCAAACATTTCAACAATTTAAAAAAAAAAACATAATACAAACATATTGCTCTATATGTTCAAAACAGGAGCATTACATTTGTTTCCCTAAATAAGAGTACATTTTTGTCATCCTCAAAATTGACAGTACTTTCCAAGTATTACAGTAATTACTTTTATTCAAAGAATAAACACATAGTAGTAGTCCTATTTGGAATTCCAAAACCTTTTCAATCCAATTTGGGGCAACTTCTTATTTCACTTTTGTTAAAGTATACCTAACTTCGTGATACACTTTAAGCAATTTTTCTAATTTCTCTTTCCTACGTTTGGACTACTTTACTTTTTATCCTTCTTTTTCTTAACTTTTTTACATTACTCATCAGACCTACTTTTACCTTGACTAATACTCCGTAAAATTTAACAGAGGATTATACATAGTATGATACTTCGTATTATTTCTACCATATACTCCCTTATTATTATTATTTTTATTATTATTACTACTATTATACACATACAAACCTGAATTACCTTATCTCTCTTCGAAGAGCCCGGTTAATATCTCTTAGTTTCTTCAACTGATCTTGCATTTTCTGCACAAACACATTTGCAAAAAAGTTAGCTAGAGAAAAAAACGATAGATCTGTAAATAAATACATAAATGATGAAGTTGAAAACATAACAAATATAATTTAATATAAAAACCTCATAGTGGGAGCACCAAAGATCGATACCGAGGGTCTTCTGGTACTGGTCAAACAACTGCTTCGTACTGCATGTGTATATTTCATAATATGATGATAAACTACAAATTAAAAAAAAAAACAGACAATAGGGATATGTATATAAAATACCAGAGAGACGGGCTGATGTATTCATGGAGCTTTCCGGACATGGAAATCATGATGATGGAAACCTTAGCATCGCAGAGGACAGTGAGCTCATGAGCTTTCTTGAAAAGACCATTCCTTCTCTTGGAGTAGGTCACCTGCCTGTTTGTCTGGTTCTCTATCCTCTTGATCTGGATCTTCCCTCTAGCCATGCTTTTCTCTCTCTATTGTCTCTATAGAAGAAGGATGGAGAGGAGTTGTGTAGTGTAGAGCTGGTGGTCAGTGGAGGTAGCTTTTCCCCCCCAATTTTTCAGGCTCTGTAATATGGAGTATTGTAATATGGAGTATTATCATATACAGAGTACTACGTGTAAAAATATTTGGGCCCCCATCCTATTATGCGAGCCATAAGCCTAATTGCAACCTTCCGTAAATAAAGGTCACCGTCTCAAAAGAGCATGATGTTCACCCCACCCTAGTTGCCTGTTATCTGGCATGGCTACTCATTATTACTACTATTTAAAAAAAATGTATAAGGGGGTGTTTGGAACTGATTCTGCTTCTGCTTATTTTTTAAAAGCAGAAGCAGAATCAGAATAAGTTTTCAGCTTCTAAAAAACTGATTCTAAGAGTAAATTAGAGCTCCAGAAGTGTTTCTGAAATTTCACCCAAACACTCCAGCTTCTGCTCCCGAGCAGAATCAGTTTTGAGAATCAGATCCAAAAAACCCCCTAAGTGGATGTACTTTGTTTTGAGAGAATATTGCTGAAAATCATCCATTTGTATACAATTTCAAACCATGAATCATTCAAAGGATCCATTTTGGTGTTTTCCACCTTACAACAAATGAAATTTCCACATTTAAAACAGATTTAATTTTACATTCAATGAAGATGTGCCATCAGAAACATCTGTTCAATCTCAAGAAATTTTAACTATTTTGTATCATAGTATTGTATAAAAACATAAATTTTAACTTATAGTTACATACATTCAGTGTCTCAATTCTCTTTAAACTTTCAGAAACCATGTTACATTACCAGCAAAGAAATTCTGAAATTCTAAGCGATGTATAAAGAAATTTATCTTTATGCTACTCAGTGTCTCAGTCGAGGAAAACAGTTGATCTAATAAAATACTACGTAGTATAAAAGATTAAAGTTTCACTTAATGAAAAAAAACAGCAGCAAGAGATTTTACACTTGAGGTTGTTGATGACGATGTCTTCAATTCAATAGACAAGTATACCTTAAAAATGAACCATAATGTTGTGGAATGGTTTTAAGAGTGATCAATAAAATGACCTCAATTAAGAATGATAGAGTTTATTTAAATCTAACCAAATGCAATACGTTTGATTTAGTCTCATGACTACTCAAATCTTCATCGACACACTTAGGTATTTAACACCTTAATTAAATGGATCTAATCCAAATCAACCATAAAATCAACCATTTCTAACTGGCAATCCAAATATTTTTTGATCGTAACTGGTAATCCAAATATTAAAAAAAACATTGGAGAAATATAAGGACTTGCAGTTCCTGGCCTTAGAATATCCCAACCGTTTTCTCATTAGATCGGACCTTATCAATCGAAAAAGTTTAATATCAATCGAAAAAGTTTAAGAAGTATTTTAGAAAAAATATATAGAGAAATACTTACCGATTCAGCGGGTTTGGAGATGCCGGGTCGGCAAAGATAAACTCAAACGAAACGGAAGCGGCGTATGTACTAACCCTAGAATAGCGAAGTATTTATATGATACTGTGTAATATTTGGATGGCATTTTTTTGGGCCGTAAAACATAACAGGGCTTGGGGTTGGACTGCTAAAAAATTATGGTCCTGTTTGGTAGTTGTTAGCTCTTAGCGGTTCTGATCAGGTGATTAGGTAGCCGGTTCTCTTCAAGTGTTTGGTAAAATTAGATGTGTATGGTTGACTGTTAGAATGTTAGAATTACAAATAACTTTTATTTATGTATTTATTTTTTTATTTACATACTTATTCATTCATTTGTTTGTGTGTTTGTTTGTTTATTTGTTTTCCAAAGTGATTTAATCATCAACCCTAATTTATAGTTATAACATATGCAAGTGTGAAATATTAATTTCACACCTCATTAAAATTTTGGGTATTTAAATTATTTTCACTAAAAAATATATGGAGTATATTTCATACAAAGTACGTCTTATAAGTTTAGAGCCGGTTTGGTAAACCTTAATTCGGCTTATCAGGCTTATCAACCAGCTTTTGCACCAAATGCGTGACTTTTGATTTCGCGCGTTGAATTATGTGATAAGCAGAAAAAGTAAAGTTGCAGTTACTTTTTTGGTTGTATTGGCTGAAGTTACTGTAGATGATCGTTTTAGCTATTTTTTCATACAATTTTTTATTTTATTTATTGATAAAAAAATATTTTAAATATAATATTTTCATGAAACAGCAGAATCAGCCAATACAACCACTTCGGCCAGAACTTCATAAATTTCAGCAGAATCAGCTAATTCAGTCAGTTTTAGTGTTACCAAACGGCTCTTAAACGTGTAGTACTCAAATGTTATATACTCTTGAGAAAATCCTAAAACATCCACAATTTAGCAAATTGAGTATAATTAAGAAATTTAAAAAGGCTTAGTTAAGAAAAATTATAAGGCGTATTTGTTAATTGTTATTATAGATCATAGAGAGAATGAGGAGACAATTTTTTTTGGAAATATTCATTTAAACTAAACCTATTATAGCATCCGATGTTGTTAATGTCAATATTCTTGATTGGGAATATTCTTGATTGGGATGAGACTTGAACATGCGACATCAATTTTGAGAGATCAACAGTGATATCATCAAACGGAAGCGTATATGCTACAACCGGCGGTACGGTGCCATCCGTACAGCCGGTGGCAAACTTGTAATTTTGATTAAAATCGTGGATTCTCTTAAAAGAGCATCGAGCTTGTTCTTTTGAGTATTATGAGTCTAACGATGAGCATTATTGATATATGCCTCATTCCTCATATAGCACATTCCATTTATTATTTTTTCGTTTATTAAAGTCTTAAATTATGTCTACAATCAGTTTCATTTGATTTCAATATGTGAATCTAATGGATTATGATATGTTTAACATGTGCAACCTTTTAAAATGAGCACAAAATAATATCAAAATATTAAAAAACTCATTTGTGTGTGCTCATTCATTTTGGGTGTTGTAATCATTTGAGTTTAACATAAAACTCATTTTGAAATATGCATGAATATAACATTTTAAAATGAGTATTGCACTAATATCAAATAAATATACATTAATTATGAAATGAGCATTTAAAAAACTCATTTGAAATGTGTAATATGCAATATACTCATATTTTCATTTGTTATGCTCATATCACAAGTGACCGAACTCCCTCACCAAACTTAGGTAAGAAAAAGAGAAAAAGGAAGAGTCCAGAGCAAGAAAGAGGGAGAAGAAGCAACTAGGGCTATACACCAAGGGAGCCGCCACAAGAGCCGCCGCTCAAGCCAGAGTTTAGGTGCTGCGCTCGTGCGGGAGGGTTGTGGCTGTCGAGAATTGTCAGCGGTGTAGGCAGCGAGTGAAGGACGAGTAACGATCTGCAAATTGTGATGGAAGCATGCGAACAATGATGGAAGCCTTGTGAACTACGATAGAAGCCTGCGATTTGCGATGAAACCCTGCGATTTGTGAAATAAAAGGCCGGCTGTACCGTGCGCACGGTACAGCCGGCTGTAGCATGTAATTTACCTCATCAAATCACAAGATACTTGACAGAATTAAAAGACTATTATAGAGTAGCTTTAATTGGAAAACTAATTGGAGAGAAACTTAATTTTCTCAGTGTGAGTAAAAGTGATACAATTAAGAGGTCTTTTGGCACACTGTTTTTCGGCTTATCACGCTTATCAGGCAACTTTTTCACCAAACACGTAATTTTTGCTTTCGCGCGCTGAATTGTGTAATAAGCAGAAAAAGTAAGGTTGAAGTTATTTTTATAGTTCAATTGACTGAAGTTACTGTAGATGACCATTTTTGTTATTTTTACATGTTATTTTTTCTTTATTTTATTAAAAAAAAAATTAAGAATAATTTTTTCTTAAATTAGCCAATGCAGCAACCAAATCAACCAATTTTCCTACTACCAAACGGGCTCTAAGTGGTGATTTTTTTTGTTACGAAATAGCGAGTATATAGAAAGTGTTGGTGATGTCATGATTAATACCCTCAAATGGTACAACGTTATCAACATTGGTATATTTAATTGGAGGTATTTTGACAAATTATTAATCTTCATCGTTAGACATTATTGATTTTACATATCTCATTTTATTCCGTATTTTACAATTTTTTGTCACTTTATTACGCTTTATAATAAAAGCTGTTAAAAAAAATTGTCTCATTTTTTGGCAGATGCTGATGCTACCAGCTGGTTCGAAAATGACTCTAACCTGGTCAGGAGGTAGAGACTAACATGTTATCATGACAGATAAAACAAAAATTGAAAGATTGGTCCCTATATGCAAGCAAACCATTCCACCCTGAGAAGACCTATTCTTGTTTGCCTATCTTTTACTCCGTATTAGTTTTAGGAAAATGATGTTTGTACCCACTTTTATACCCACTTTTGTACCACCCATGTTTGTGAAGTTATTTTTTTTGTCTGTGAATTCCTTCACAGACAAAATATGTCTGTGAATTCCTTCACAGACAAAATATGTCTGTGAAGGAATTCAAAGACATATTTTGTCTGTGAACCGGCCTCACAGACAAAAAAATAACCTTCACAGAGGTGGGTATAAGGTAAGTAGAAAGTGGTGGGTACAACAAGATGGTTGTTAGTTTTATATGGCCTAAAAAACCATACCGTCAGTATTTCAGTTTTGAAAACAAACCGGACCAGAACCGAGTGAGTAAATCACTATGGATGTGATCAATTTAATTGGGACCTTGCTGGAATGTTTACGTCGAACTCGCTTAAGGCTCAACCTAGGTACAGATTTGATTGCTACAAAATAAGATATCGAAACAATCTGATTTTTTTATCAATAGGGTAGACCAAACAGGAAACATTTGAATGGGAGCAAATTAGGGATCACCTGGAATTTGGAATTAGGGAATGATGGAGTAGATATTTGGAAGAGATAGATATCCCATCTTATCCAAATTCCAACTAAATTGCTCGTCCTTCCAGACATTTTATATAGTTCGAAGAAATCTATCCTCACTGCAACAGCACAATAGGAATGTCTACAGAAAAGTTGTAATCAGCCAATCAGGGCAAATGGGGTAGATGTTTTCTAACTTGTATTGATAAGTCGTAGTTATAGACATACAAAAAAATCAAAATTCGTGATATTTTCAATGTTAGATTGATAGTTTGCAGTCACATTAGCCTTGTTTTGACATCACTTTAGCCTTAATACTTAATAGTTAGCCTGTCTTTCGGGTTTAGCAGTACATAAAAAAGTAAGACCAGCCGACATGGAGTCGAGACAAAAACAACTGAGATGGACAAAACAAATTAAAATAAGGAAATTGTACCACTCGTAGTCAGTAGTCACCAAGGGAGAACAAAATCAGAGATTGTTTTCTGAATTGATTCCTTGCAAAAGCAGAACCACTTTACTTCAAACCATAATTTTTTTTTCTGTGTCTTGGGGCGATGAGAGCAAGCCAACGACTACAACTAATGAAGCCATGTAAATTCTAACATAATAATTGTACTTCTTCAAAATTCAATAAATTCCATGCCTATGGTGAAGCAGAATTATATAAACATCTGTCATGAGAATATATAAGAATTAAATTTTCATGAAATTCAATAAATTTGTCTCCTTGTTTCTTCAGTACACGAGTATACTCAAAGCCTTCTATGTTCATGAAGGCCTCCCACGTGACAAGTTTCCAATCAACGCTTTTGGTGTATGGGACTATCGGAGAACATATAAATCCAAGTGTATGTACCTTCTCAACCAGAAATAAGTTGACCTGGAAGCTGCAAGACTTTCCCTATAAAGCACATGTAAACGGATCACTAATGCAAATAATGCACTCATCTACAAGGTATATGTATATAACATTCAGCTATAAGCCATAAACAGCGCAGCTAACAAAATAATATTAAGGGCCTGTTTACTAACAGAAATATTTTTCTGTTTTCATTTTCTGTTTTCAAACCTTCAATTTTCTGTTTTCGTTTTCCGGTTTTCTGTTTTCCAAATCAGAAAACATGTTTACCAGAGGTTTACAGAAGAGACTCCTCCTAAGTCTAGCCCTCTGTCAGTGTGATTTGTGTTGATTGATATGCTTAAATGCACCACACAAATCTAAAACATGAAACACAAAATCTGGAATGACACTTCCCATCCATTCAACCCACTATAACCTATCCAATGATTCTCTTACGAATCTGGAAAGAAGAAAAGCCAAACCCAGCTAGAACCTATTCACAATTAATCTGGAAAAGAAAAGGAAAACCAAGCTATAATGTTATCGTAATGAACCCATCCACGAAGCAACTAACAAAAGGAAACAACTACAACCCTACCTTCATATTTATACAAATATTCCTTAGGAACACCCAAAAATGATTTCTCAGCCCCTGTACCTAAAGCATTGTCCTATTAATACCAGTCCAGATGTTACTGTGTCTGGAGTGTTTGATTCCCAGCAGTACAATTTGATACAGCCTCTTTGTTACCCACACATTCTGGCCCCTTATTCCCAGAAGTCAGGGCTGCAGTAACTTCAATATTACCAACGCCTATTCGATTAATTAAATCAGCCTTACCATTTGATTTCAGCGCATCCGCAGTACGTGAAACGACCGTTTGTAGAGCTGGGAATTCATCTTCGCACTCCGCCAGTATATCAAAGCAACCAGCTTTTGACCTTGTAAGTCTGGACGATGATTCACAGGTCCCCTGCGTGCTACCCAGCTTCTTCTTCCCCATAGTGACTGTAACAAGCGTGTGCCACTGGAACAACAGCAGACAGGCAAACAGAGCACCCAAGAGCTTTGTCCCAGCCCAACGAGTCACAAACCACAGTAAGAAAGCTGTCGGAAGATGCAGAGGAGCAGGAATCACAGCTCACCGTGTAGAACCAACGATGAACAGTGCCAGAAACCCGTCTCGGGTCCTGGACTCCTAAACAACCTCAAAACCAATTGGGTAGAAGCACTAGGTGACAGAGAGTCCAAAAGTAGCCAACGATGAACAGTGCCAGAAACCCAACTCGGGTCTTGGACTCCTAAACAACCTCAAAACCGATTGGGTAGAAGCACTAGGTGACAGAGAGTCCAAAAGTAGCCATGAATATTTCAGATACAAAACAAAAACCTCCAGATTTTGAACAAATCAAATGACCATGAACAGTGAATGTCGCTAATTTCAGGTTATGATTTCTGGTAAGATAGGCTTACCTTAACTAGCAGGAAGGTTGAGAGCGAAGGAAGGCAGAGCGCAGTAGAGGCGGAGGAAGGCGAACGAGTAAATAGGCACTGCAGCTCCGTGTTTTCTAAAACGAGAAAACGTCTAAATGTGGTTTTTCTATTTCAGAAGTAAATAGACATGTCTCGTTTTATTTTCCTCTTGGAGAACAATTAGGTAAACAGGTTTCTACTTTTTCTGTCCCCAGTTTTCCAATTTTTTGCAAAAACAGAAAATATTTTTGTTAGTAAACAGGACCTAAGTTTTCTTAATCTTTCTTGCGAAGACAAGTAGTTTGATTTGCTTTTACAAGTTAACCATAAAAACCTACATTTTACAAGTTGATATTATATAAGTATGCTGTAAAGAAAAACCTAAAGAGGCCTTCATTTAAGACAGTAAATCTAGCTGGTTCACGCCTGGAGTTCCTCTCTTACATGGTATTTGGTGGCAAACAGTATTCTGGTGAGGTTGCTGGAAGCAAGAAAATCGCAGAAGAGCTAGTGGACACTGCTATTAGGTCACTAGGCATTTCAAGACATGAATTACGATTTCTGCTTATGTATTGTTTAAAAAGGATTAATCAAACCTGAGAACATGATAGAAGAAACGGACATCGCAGGGAGTACGAGATGCATTGTGCAGTCCATGGATAAACATAACATTGGTTCACTAACGAGATCATAAAAGGATCATTCTTTTGCGGAGAAGTTAAAGATTAAACATATAGTGCTAGATAGTATAAATTCAGATTCACATTGAAAATGATACCTAAAGCTTCTACATGCTCACCATAAAGTCATGATTATAGAAGTTGATGAATTTTCAAAACATTTACAGAAGGCATCAGAAAACTCACCTCTAAATACATCTAGATTCAATACCTCTAAATAATCTGACTCAAGATCAAACTATGAGGCAGGTCAGCTGTGTGAACTCTCCTGGTATAAAAATTAGTGGCGATGGGCTCATAGGCATGTCTTTATAATGGCAAAAGCAAAGTTTTCTACGTATGTAAAAAATATAGTATGTGAGCAGATGTAGCATATATGATACAGCAATTCCGTTTTTATATATTATTCTGTCCCAACAATAATTTCTCGATTTGAATTTCGAGGTTAAACTCACTTACTCAGTTGATGTTTGAGCATAATTATTTGAAATTATATATCTTTAATTTTAAACAAATTAATATTTCAAAAATATATTAAAAACAATTCATTTAAAAGTACTTCCATGATATAAATAATACGTAGTATATTTTTTCAATAATTACGGTCAAAGCTAACAAACTTCGACCTAAAAAATCACACTAGGAAGGTAATTATGGTGTTTCCCAAGCTATCTCACGCCCAAGTTTCCCTAAATGACGCATTCTAGAAAACTGTTAGTAGCAGGTTGAATAAGATATGTTCACCTGATTAACATATTCAAACACTTTCTCCTACACCACCATTTCTTTTAGCTTGTTCTGCATCAAAATTACAGCCACCTCACAAGCTGTGCACAACGGGTCATTGGAGGATTTTCCTCACTACATATGTATATCAGAACTGCAAAGAAATTTTATGGATCAATAATGCCGATTAGAATGTGTATTCAGATGAGTATTTTTAGTAAAATGCCAACTTTTCAGCAGATAACATATGTGAAGAATGCAATATAGAATTGTCTATACAGGTTATGGAGACTAGTGCATTGAAATTTTACACTGTATTCTATGATGTATTGTTTAAACCCCATTTGGCACAACCTGATCTCTATCGACAGCTACAAATGACACGCACAGCAGATTGATACAAGTACCAGCAAACTAGAATTCAGGATAACCTACTCATATTGACAATGTGCATAAACAAATTACTGTAAATACTAGAGTAACAACTAAGAAACTAAGATCTACCAGAGAGCACTGAAGAATCAAACAATGACGATCCTCACCTGAAGTAGAACGTAAAAAGGCACTTCCAACGAATCAACATAGATTTCTCTTGAGACATTAACCCTCCGTTCATATCATTCCCATCAATCCTGTTTTCCTTTGACAGGGCAAATAATACAATTGGTTAGCCAACAAGTAATGCTCAACTTATAGCCTAAACTTAAAATAAGTTTATGTGTTCTTCAATAAAATATGTCATCAGTTTTTTGGAAAAGGAAAGGAGTACAGAGAAGCTTTCGATTCAATTCATCAAAACAGCTTGAAGACTAACCACTAAGCATAACGTTGTTGCTAGCATGCGGACTATATTCAAATGTATCACCATGTCTTGATCCATATACGTTGCACCCATAGTTCATTGGCATTAACATTTACCAATAATCGCCACAGCTGCATATACCATCATTGAAGTGGTGGAACCTGTTGTTATCCCGTAGAACTATTGATCTTTCTTCAAGTTTTGAAATAAGTTTGATTGCAGTGTGACAGTCTGCACAAACTCTTAAATTCTTTATCACACGTATTGGTCTCCCAGGGGGCACATTCAGAATTGCGAATGCAACAGCTAATTTTTCACTATGATACTTCAACATGTGTGCCTTTTCCTCCTCATCCACATCATGCAAGACTAATTTTGTTGCAACCGCATAGCCTTCACGCTTCATTCGTAGTTCTAAATCTTCCAAGAAAGCATACATTCTTTCACTGTCTGGATGTGTGGAGTCCCCAACTGAAAAAATGTGAATCTTGTTTTGTAACTCAACCCAACTATACCCGGGAACTTTCTTTGTACCAGTATCCCTCAGTTTTAATCTCACCTTACTGACATCAGACCATCTACCAGAAGCTGCATACATGTTAGACAAAAGAACATACATCCCGGCATTCCATGGCTCCAATGCAATAACTTTTTCAGCAGCTTTTTCTCCTAATTCCGTGTTTCCATGAATCCTGCTTGCCCCAAGGATAGCACCCCAAGTGGCAGCATCTGGTTCAAAGGGCATGCTCTTGATTAAGCCTTGTGCATCATTCAGGCGCCCAGCTCGACCCAAGAGATCAATCATGCAAGTGTAGTGCTTTGAGTTTGCATCTATCCCATAGTCTCCCTTCATAGAATCAAAATATTCCATTCCCATTTCAACCAAGCCTGTATGACTGCAGGCGGACAGTACCCCGACCTAAAGAATATGTGATGGTGAGTCAAACCTAAACATCATTTTCTCAAGGATACATAAAAGCGCACCAACCAGAGAAAAGCTACACCAGGAAGATTTGTAAATAACTAAGGAAATCATTATTGCCTCCAAATTATGGCATGAATAATAAACATTGACATATAAAGCAGTGTTAACTAAGTGCTGCATAGTTAGAAGATGTCACAAGGGTGTGTGCATCGCAGATTTGCAGCTTGTAAGACAGAGTCTCAAAGCAAGACAGCTTCAGAATAAAGGCATCTAAGATCCATTTTAGATTAGCCATAAGATGAAAATAACTACAACACTAATGAACATAGAGAACCATTCAAATCTCAAAATACACACATGTTCGTCAATATGACATATGGTCATAATTGTAATGTCCATATTACTATTATCAATTGCAATCAACTTACGAAAGCTGAAAATAACTACATACCATAGTAACATCATCTGGTTTAAAACCGTTTCCCTTCATTACTTCAAAAAATTCAAGAGCCTCTTTGCCAAATCCATGCCTTGCATAACCAGCAATCAATGTATTCCAAGAGACGACATCCTTCTCTACTATTCCCTTGAACACACCCAGTGCCTCACACATGCTTCCACACTTGCAATACATTGCTAGGAGAGCATTCCCCACATAGCAGCCTGATTCATATCCTGCCTTTACAATTCGTCCATGTACTTGCTTTCCTAATTCAAAAACTGCAATATCAGCACAAGTACTTATGACACATGTAAATGATGACCGGTTTATCCTCTCCCCATCTCTTGTCATTTCAACAAACATGCGCAGTGCCTCCTCACTATTACCACATTGAACATACCCCGCAATAATTGCAGCCCAAGAGATGCAGTCATGTTTAGGCATGCATTCAAACAAATTCCTTGCACTAACAATATCACCATTTTGTGCATAGCCTGTTATCATTGTGTTCCACGAACTAGTATTTTTACAGGGCATTGCCTCAAACAACTCCCTTGCCAAATCAATCCTTTTGCACTGAACATACCCAGCAATCATTGCATTCCATGAGACCTCATTCTTCACTTCCATATCATCAAAAAAAATCCTAGCTTCCTCTACTTTACCATTTTGCACATGCCCTGAAACCATTGAAGTCCAAGCAAACACGTCTCTAATAGGAGAATCATGGAACAACTTCCTTGCTTCCTCCAATTCACCATTCTGTGCACAACAGGATATCATTATGTTCCATGAAACCTCGTCCCTCAAAGGCATTCTATCAAAAATCACTCTGGCTTCAGCCAACATTCTCTTCTTCAAATACCCACCCATCAAACAATTCCAAGCAACAACCTCCCAGATTTCCTTCGACTCGAACAATCTCTTGGCAGCATCAATCATCCCATTGCACACGTACATTGACAGCAGTGCATTCCATGAAATCTCATTCTTCACTGGCATCATATCAAAAATCAACCTTGCTGCATCAATATGCCCGCTTTGAGCGTACCCAGACAGCATAGTGTTCCACGAGACCACGTCTTTGTGAGGCATTTGATCAAACAACAACCTAGCAGCTCCAAGATTCTTATTCCTCACATACCCACTTAACATCACGTTCCAGGACACCAAATCCCTATGTGGCATTTGATTAAAAAGATGCAGTGCAAAGTCGAACCTATTATTGGACAAGTACCCAGAGATCATTGAGTTCCAAGAGACACTGTTTTTCATAGACATGGAATTGAATAAGCGCATTGCAGATTCGCACTCGCCATTCCGCATGAATTTGGTGATTTGCATATTCCATTTCACTGTGTCTGAATCGGCAATAAAACTTGTCACTGGTTTCCGTTTGGCAGCCTCAGATATTTTTGGGCTTGGGATAGGAGGCTTTGTCGCTTTAAGATTGCTTACAGGATCACTTTGCATCAAGTGCGAGGAGGTGCTGCATAATTGTCTGAAGCGCATGGTTTTGCAGTTCATGTGTTGATCCAGAGTAGACTTGTTTCTGACTTTCTGGGACTGCTACCATAACTTTCTGGGACTGCTACCATACGAGAATTGTTTTCTAAAACTGAGAGTGAGAGATATGAATGAATATAAATAAAAATTCTTAAAATATTAAGGGTCTGTTCAGAAACATAGATATTTTCCTTTTTTTCTACCTCTGTTTTTTATTCTTCAATTTTCTGTTTTTATGTTTCAGTTTTTCTATCTCCAATTTTCTGTTTCTATTTTTTAGTTTTCCATTTTCAAATCTGAAAAGATATTCATCAATTTTATCACTCACTTCTCCAATTCCACACCCTTAACCCCTACCCTTACCCTTACCATGATCTTACACTCTACCCATACTCCCCCACAACCCTTCATACCCACCCATACCTACTCGTAGGGGCCGGGGTAGGGAAGTTATGGTTGGGGTGGGGTAGGGAAGTTATGGGGGGGTGGGGTAAGGGGTTATGGTCGGGGGTGGGGTGGTAAGGTCTAGGGGTAGGGGGTTGGGTGGGGGTAGTGAGTGGGTTAGGGTCGTGGTTAAGGGTAAGGGTGGGGTAGCGGGTAGGGTTGGGGTAAGGTAGGGGTAGGGTAGGGAGTTGGGATAGGACGGCGGTAGGGTGAGGCCGGGACCAGGGTGGGGCCGAGGTAGGGAAGGGGTAGGATGGCGGTAAGGGTGGGGGTAGTGGGTAGGGTTGGGGTAAGGTAGGGGTAGGGTAGGGAGTTGGGATAGGATGGCGGTAGGGTGGGCCCGGGATCCGGGTGGGGCCGAGGTGGGGGGGTAGGATGGCGGTAAGGGTGGGGGTAGTGGGTAGGGTTGGGGTTGGGGTAAGGTAGGGGTAGGGTAGGGAGTTGAGATAGGATGGCGGTAGGGTGGGCCCGGGATTCGGGTGGGGCCGAGGTAGGGGAAGGGTAGGGTGGGGGGTAGGATGGCGGAATGGTGGGGGTAGGATGGCGAATGGGATGGGGCCGAGGTAGGGGCATGTGGTAAGGGTAAGGGTAGGGTGGGTTGGGTTGGGGTCAAGGTGGTAGGGGGTGGCGGTAGGGTAGGGTGGATCGGGGTGGGGCCGAGGTATGGCATGTGGTAGTGGGTGGGGTAGGGTCATTATAGGGAAAAATGGGTACGCGGGGTGAGGTTGAGTGGGTAGGGTAGGGGTAAGGGTAAGGTACGAGGATGGAGGTACCGGAATGGAATCGACATCAGAGCGGGACCGGACCCACCACTAGGTGTAAGTATGCAAATTCATTGCAGCGGCACTGTAGTATCTGCGTTTTCCAAATTTGGAAAACTAGTAAAAGTCATTTCTCCAAATCATCAAGGAAAAGAGAGATATGTCTCATTTTTTCCGTTTTGGAAAACGATTTGGTAAACACGTTTTTCTTTTAAAATTATGAATTTATGGGTGAATTTATTTTGCTCCCTTCTGCAAAAACTTCAATCACACAATTTTTACTTTTTTCCTTATTTGAGACTCGTTACAAAATTGGAAATGTCTAATGAGAAGCATCTAAAATTACACATTTTTTAGATTCTAAAATTCAATTTCATTCATTTGAAAATTACACAATTATTAGGGAATATATTTTGTATATATTTTAGTTTATTTTTCATATCTTCTAGAATATAATACAAATCTATTCCATATATAAACTGTAAACCGTAGCATATCATAGGTATCTTTATAGTTAGCAAGAGGAGATATTTAAGGACACTTGGTTGTATATATATTGCACACATACGGTTGAATAGAGCAAGGCAGAATTGACTCCATATGTTCTCATTTTACTATATGGTATCAGAGCGTCGCTAACCGTGCGCTACTCATCTTTCTTTCTTCTTTTGCGCCATGACTGGTGGAACGACGGATTCTTCCCAAAGTCTGGTATATGCCCTCAGTCCTAGTGATAATCCAGGAACAATAATAACCCATGTTGTTTTAAAAGGTTACAACTATGAAGAATGGGCCAGAGCATTCCGAATTTCGCTTCGTGCCAAGAGAAAGCATCCGTTTATTGACGGAACTCTGAAGCAACCCGCCGAGACCGCTCCTGAGATTGAAGAATGGTGGACGGTCAATTCGATGGCCGTGGCCTGGATATTCAATACTATTGAAGCTTCACTCCGAACCTCCATCTCCTACCGAGATGTTGCTCGCGACCTGTGGGAAGACATTAAACAGCGGTTCTCAGTCGGCAATGGAGTAAAGATTTACCAAATTAAGGCTGAAATTTCAGACTGCAAGCAAAAGAATGGAGAGACAATTATGAGTTATTACGGCCGGCTTAAGAAATTGTGGGATGATCTCAATGATTTTGATGTCCTTCCTTCTTGCAAGTGCACTGGTTGTAAGTGCGATCTGACAACAAAGCTTCGTCAACGTCGAGAAGCCGATCAAGTGCGAGAATTCTTAATGGGGCTTGAGCCTTTCTATGCTAGCGTCCGGTCCAGTCTGCCGGGGATAGATCCTCTGCCCTCTCTTAACATGGTGTATTCCCGGTTGATTCAGGAAGAGGAAGTGAGAACAATCACAGGAGGCCAGGGAGACAGGCTGAACCCGATGAGTTTTGCCGTTCGGGGAAACACGTCTGGCGGTCGTGGCTCAGGGGGGGCACCAGATCATCCAACAACTTGATAACATGCACCTTCTGTTCAAAAACTGGACACACCGAAGATCGGTGTTTCGTCAAGCATGGGTATCCGGAAGGCTGGCTGGAGCGTCGATGTAACACAAGCAAGACTCGTGGACTTTCCGGTAGGACTAGCTCGGGAGGTACTACAACAGGAGGGTCTACGAATAATAATCTTTCTGGACAGCAACCCAAGGCTAACGTGGCTCACGCCGGGGATGTTGCAACTGATTTTGGTGAAATTCGCCTTCATGGTAAGACAAAAAACCTGTGGATTATAGATACAGGTGCTTCACATCATGTATGTGGAAGTGCACGATTGTTCGATGATTTAGTGGATATGGTACCCACTGAAATTGGGCTTCCCGATGGGTCATTCATTAAGGCTACAAAGACTGGTAGCGTTAAAGCGAATAACAAACTCACACTGAGTGATGTGTTGTTTGTACCGGAATTCACTTGCAATCTCTTGTCTGTTTCTACTTTGCTCAAAGATAATAGATTAAGTATTCATTTCACTCATACTAATTATGTTATACAGGACCGAATCTCGAGGACCAAGATTGGTGTGGGTGAGCAGCTTGGTGGAATCTTTTACTTGACAATGGAGGAAAAAGTTTTCATCAACAACACCACTCATCTGAATTTTTGTGATCTGTGGCATGCTCGGTTGGGACATCCTTCATCGCAAGCTCTTATTTATTTACCTCAAGTTAGTTGTCATTCAAGTAGTTTAATAAATAAGCCGTGTGACGTGTGTCATCGGGCCAAGCAAACACGTTCTATTTTTCCTTTGAGTAATAGTAGAGCAACTACTTTGTTTGATTTAATTCATTGTGACGTTTGGGGACCATATATTGCCAATCAATCTTATGGTTCACGCTATTTTCTTACTATTGTGGATGATTATTCGAGAGGTGTTTGGGTTTACTTGATGAAACAGAAAAGTGAGGTGTCTTCTTTGCTAATAAATTTTTTGGCTTTAATCAAGAGACAATTTGGACAGAATATAAAGATGGTGCGTACTGATAACGGGACTGAATTTTTGACATTGAAAAAGTATTTTTCTACCCAAGGAATTATTCACCAGACCTCTATGGTAAGAACTCCTCAACAAAATGCCCGAGTTGAACGTAAGCATCGGCATATTCTTAATGTTGCCCATGCCTTGCGTTTTCATGCAAACTTACCAATAGATTTCTGGGGGGAATGCATACTTAGTGCCGCTTATTTGATCAACAGAACACCCTCTCGACTTTTACAAGGCAAAACGCCTTTTCAATTAATCTTTGGTCAGTTCCCCGATCTTCGTAATGTCCGGATCTTCGGTTGTCTTTGTTATGCCAAGGAATTGAACCTGGTTGATAAATTTGCTAGTCGGAGTCGCAAATAGGGGTGAGCATGGGACAATACGGGACGGTTATTTCGAAAAACATGTCTCATCCCAAAGTACGGTTCTTTTAAAAATCAAGAACCAGTACTGTCCCGCATATATATAGAACCTGTCTCGTTCCGTCCCAATTTTCGGTACGGTTCGGTACGGTTCAGTACGGTTCGGTGTTACTTATTTACTAAATAATTAACCCTCATGAAATATAAAAAACTTTAGATTTTAACATTAATAAATAACTCTACAAAAATTTAAGAGAAGAACTTGCAAGACTACATTTAGGATGTTTTTCTTGGACTATAATTTGCTGGTCTGGTCTGAACTGGTCTAGTCTGGTCTGAACCGGTCTGGTCTAGTCTGAACAGGTCTGGTCTGGTCTGGGACAAATTACAGTCCAAGTAAAAACATTCTTAATTGATCTTGTGTGATCAAATTGAAATATGAAATTAAAAATCAAACTATAATAAAGAAAAGTAACATCCAAACTAAAAAGCAAAAGTGATCGTCAAACTGAAAAATAAAAAAGTATCACATCACATGACAAAGAATATGCAAGATTGCACATTTGTAATATACGGACATACGGTCACTAACATTTACACTCGATAAAATATATTATATATAATACGGAGTATATAATATATAATTATATTGTAACATTAGTTTTCGGGACAATTCGGTACGGTACGAGACGGTTCGGTTCAATACGGTTCCAGGACGGTTTCGGAACGGTTCTCACTAAGAACCGGTACCGTACCATCTTATTAAAAAAGATCGGTACGGTACAGTACGGTATTACATTTTTCCGGTTCTATCGGTTCTGGAACGGTTCGAGACGGTTCTTCGGTATGGAACGGGAATTCCCAGATCCGCGCTCAGCCCTAGTCGCAAATGTATTTTTATTGGATATCCATTTGGTAAAAAGGGCTGGAATTTGTTTGATCTTGAAGCCGGACAATATTTTTGTTCTAGAGATGTAATATTCTATGAGCACATTTTTCCATTCTCTTCTAGCTCGACATGTGAGAAC